TAATTGTTATTTTCCCTTAATTAACTTCGGTTCTTCTGAAAATTCCTTATAACTGTTCTTGTTCTCTAATTAACTTCGGTTCTTCTGAAAATTTCTTATAATTGTTCTTGTTCTCTAATTAACTTCGGTTCTTCTGAAAATTTCTTATAACTGTTCTTGTTCTCTAATTAACTTTGGTTCTTCTGAAAATTTCTTATAATTGTTCTTGTTCCTTAAAAAGCTTTGTTTCTTCTATTAATGTAACTGACTCAGAAAGCAAGCTGAGACAAGTGAGGCCGAGCTTCGTGCAGAGTGACATTCTTCGCTTCGGAGGTCACTGGAGAGAAGCATTTATGGATCTTTTCTCCTGGGAAAGCCGGTGTGTTGAGAAATGAACAGATGGACAGACTGGATGGCTCTGCAAAACTTGGTAGAATACTGCTGCATGATAAGACAGATGTGGTCGAGGCCTTATGGGAGCACGTGTGCAATTGTGAGAAGCAAATGGATAATTACAGTCTGGTGAGATGAAGCAAAGAAGGACGAATAGATCTGGTCGATACTCGACGCTCAGACGAAAAGCAAGACGGACGTATAATCAGAATGCAACCGGCACCATTGGTACTGAAACTGCGCAGCCCGCTGAAGACTTACACAAAGCGCTTACTGGAATGGCCCGAGTACTGTGATGTCGGTTCTTCAATCAACTCACAAACTCAATTATTCTAATATTTTTCGATCTAAGGCCTTGTCCCCTAATGAACTTGGATTCTTTCGGTAATTCTCTATTATTGTTCTTGTCCCACAAATACATTAGTTTCGGTCCTTGTCCCTTCATTTCTTCTAATAATTCTCAATTGTTACTCTTGTCAGGTATTTAACTTCGTTTCCTCTAATGATTGGCCACTTTTATTCTTATCTCTCCCATACTTTAGTGTCTTTAAATAATTTTCTATTATTGTTTCTGTCTCCCACATAACTTCGTTTCTTGTAATATTTCCTTGTTATTACACATGTCCAACCCCGCCGCCATCATGAAAATAGTATGGGGGTGGGGGGGGGGGAAGGTTGGGGTTGGGAGGGCAGATGTTAGGCAAACATAGAAAACATAGGAGAGGGAAGGGTGAAACAGCCTAGCGCCCCCCCCTCCCCCAACCCCAACAAAGCTCACCCCCAACAAATCCTCTTACCACCTAGGCAAACAATTGGGAGTAGGGGAGCCTCAGAGTCTTCACCCCTCCCCCTCTCCTCCTGCCAGCTCTCCCTAAACCTAGGCCCTCCTCACCACTTATCTATTTTTTAAAGGGATTTGAGCACCCAGGTTCTCTCCCCAATGCACTTACCCATTATATAACTTAGCTTCTTAAACAAAACAACCGCCCCCCCCCCCCCCCCCCCAAAAAAAAACATTTCTTCTTATCCTTTAAGAAACTTCCCTTTCTTCTAATAACTCCACTCTAGGTTTGTCCCCATTTACTGCATGTTTACAGTCTTATTCAACCATTTTTAACAAAACATTTTTTTTTTGTTTCGCCGGATAGCATTTCCACTCTCCCGCCTTCCGTGCCAACTCCCACCCTTCCTGCACGGGTTGTGTTTTTTCTATCAGAAATCGGTGATGACTGTCTTCGGCGCCTGTCCTTCGGTGTTTAAAATATTACTGTCTCGACAGCTCAACGCATCTTCTGCAGAGGTGCAATCTTCGCTCTTCCCTGAGATGTATTTTCCTTGCCGTCGCCAGCTCCTTCACGCCCCGTGGATGTATCAGAGTGTGTCCATGACCTTCTGCCTCTGATAGAAATAACAGCCACTCGACTGTCCTAGCTGGGGTTGGGGAGGGGGGGGGGAGTAGACTGGGGCGAGTCGGTTAGAGGCACGTGTAGCTTTTTTTTTTTTAACTGTGACTTTACCGGTTCTGGCATTTGTTAGTTTTTCATTTCATTCGCAAATTTTTCTCGTTTGTTTGTTCAGGGAAACAACCCTTGACTCATATGTAACGGTAATGTGTGATTGTCTCCCCGTGAATCTCATTCATCGCCTAATATGTTCACTTGATTAGCTTTTTCCCCCCTATTTAAAATAGGGGAATGCTCAATTAATCCGGCTTCCCCTGTGACCACTTCCGCTGTGTCTTTTAGATTTGTAAATTTTGAAATTGCCCCCCTCCCCCTTTTTTCCCCAACACGACCACCTCAACAGCCCCCACTACCACAGCCACTACCACAACATCTACCTCCACCAACACGACCACCTCAATAGCCCTCACTACCACAACCACTACCACAACATCTACCTCCACCAACACGACCACCTAAATAGCCCTCACTACCACAACCACTACCACAACATCTACCTCCACCAACACGACCACCTAAACAGCACTCACTACCACAACCACAACAGCTACCTCCACCACCATTTTCAAGCTACAAATAAAACACGTCTATGCCCTCTCCAACGTCGAGATGGAAAAAAAAGGGGGGGGGGCATGCCAACTAGTGGGTGGGTGGGGAGGGGGGAAACATGCCAACTAGTCGTATGGGGGGGGGGGGGAGGGGATGCAAACCACTGAGTAAAAATGGGTGTGGGAACATGCCAACCAGTTTCGTGTTTTAACTGGTAGTAGCTTTTTTTAAGGGGTTATTTATCGCCACATCACTGGATCCCACAGACCAGGTCAGCGCTGCTATTTCACCCCGTCCATCTGTCCAAGCCTTCGAAGTACGTAGTTATCCTTTCGCCTTTCACCTGTGTTTTTCTTCTTTTCGCATTAACCTTGTAAGTCGTCATCAAGTCCCAGAGTTCATTCCTTCTAATTACACACACACACACACTCGCACACTCACACACACTCGCCTCGCACACACACACACACACACACACACACACACACACATATATATATATATATATATATATATATATATATTTCTGTAAATCTTCAGGATCAAAGACCCCCCCCCCCCCCCTGTTCCTACACCGCAAAAGTATCACAAAGACAGTAACTGGCAGTATACTGTGTTTACTTGTTTCCAAGAAATACTGCCTCGTTGTGTCTATATCTTCTTCTCTTCCACCTTGTACCTCATAGATGTGTCGGAAAGGGGAAGGGGGGGGGGGGTGTCTATATCAATATATGATATTCTCTGCAGTCATCTCCAAAACTAAATCTCCGCTTCGAGTAGGATTTTCGTTTTAGTTTCTACGACTACTAATGCATGTCTTACAGGCAGTACAACATAACAGGTTAAATTTGAACAACAGATCAACATTATGGAACAAGGGTAGTAACCCATAAGTGCTCCGTTCTTCTTCTAACTCAAGTCTGAGTCCAAAGAAGCTCAGCACGGAGCACAGGCTCTGTAACGCCAGCGAGGATCCTGAAATACTTTGGGTAGATTCTCAACTCCAAATTTTGCCCAGTTAGAGCCTACAGGCTACTCTTTTTGATTTCCAACTGCCAGGGTTTTTTGTTACGTGCGCAACAATGCACACAGGCGTCTGATCTCACTACCCAGAAACCAAGCGTAATTACTAGAAATCAACGTGAAAAATCCCAGCCCTTACCGGGGATTGAGCCCGGAACCTCTAGCACTCGAGGCGGCCCATGCCTCTAGACCACACAGCACCCTAACAACAGATTTTATACAACACTGTAAGGTTTTTTTTTTTTTTTTCTCACTGCAATTGACCCTGGTTTTTTTTTTTTTTAAATTGATGGATATTTTTGCGTCACTCTCTTTATGGGTTCCTGGACACCATTGTGGGGTTAACAATAATACACCCACTGCCTGCCTAAAAGCGTGAGTCGATTAATTAGAGGCTTTCTTTGAAGTCGGAGTATATCTGTTCGAGAGGCAAGAAAATAAAAGTCTTCATACAAATGAGTCAGACCCGTGAAACGGATGTGCACGCAACACTTAGTTTTGGAACAGAACTAGAGCCCAGGAGTAGACGAACAACCAGTACCTTATGCCGGAGTTTGCAGTCGGTAAACGCGAAAAAGAAGAAGAAGATTTGCGTCATTTTGCTAAAAGCCACTTCATAACACAACATAACATAATATAACATAACATAACTTAGCATAACATGACATACCATAACATAATAAACGTTAGTTGCGTGTCCTTTACATGAAGTCACAGAACCAGCCACAGCGTTTGTGGTTATTGTGGTTTTAGAAGGTAGTTTTAATGTTCAGTAGTTTGCCACTGCTTACTGAAAGGTCAGCTCCCGATCATCATCATCATCATCATGTAGCAGGTCCTTTGCAGAACGTCGCTCTCACCACGGTCGCCTGAAGAAATTCGGTCTCTCGCCAGAACTGCCGTCACGTGCACTTTCGTATTCAAGCAGTCACTTATATTCTGTGCCCATCATCGTGCTGGTAGACCCCTACCTCTTCTCCCTGGTACCATACCTCCTATTATAATTATTTTTTCTAGTCCGCGGCTCTATACATAATTATCAAAACTTTCGCAGGGCGGTCTGCTGTCAAATTACCTGCTGCTATTTTCGAACGCGGGACCTCGGCATTACGAAAAAAGTTCGCAACGCCTAAGCCACAACGCCGAAAACATAGCACAGCATAATATAACATAAAACTCCTAACATTTCCGCCAACAAAATTTTTTCCCCACCGTGGCCGTTCAAATTAAATTATGCACAAAGTGTCTTCAGCTGGCACTATCGGGAATATCCTCATATTGCCACTAATCACTTGCATCGGTTCTGACCTTTTCATGTTCCCACATTTCTTGGCTTCTCGATCCGTTGGCCTGATTATCTCCCTCCTCCTGCTCCTCCTCCTCCTCCATCTCCCCATCTTCGTTAGTTGAAAAACACTAACTACCCATTTCAAAAGCCGTCCCATAATTTTACGTCTGTTGGCTTCCATCACACATTTTCTACCCCGTGACATTTTAAGCAGACCAGGCGCCCTCAACCGCAGCATCCCGTGTCTCCCACCACCCACCCATGCCACTCAGAAACTCCATCCACCTTCTCTTTCTCATCCGCTAATGAGGAATCTCCGGGGAGATTCTATCTCCATTTCCTTTTCCACCATTCTCATCTTCAAGAGAATATCCCACTGGTTAAAAAATACTCCTCAGTATGCCACCCTAACACACACACACACACACGCTCTCTCTCTCTCTCTCTCTCTCTCTCTCTCTCTCTCTCTCTCTCAGTGGCTTCTTACAAATCTTCATTCTTGAATTCCCCCCGTCCGTACGCTTCCCAAACCTCACATCCTTGTTCCCCTAGCCACCACCCTTCCTCTTCTTTACCGCCCCCACTCATTGAGACCACAGATACAGATTTTCTTTGTGTTTGGCTGCAGCGTCAGTAGGTAAAACAACTCGTAGCCCCCCTTCCCCAAGCCATCCATCCTGTCATGCGACGCAGATTGCCAGGAGGCCTGGTTACCGGTGGTCTGCTCTGCTACTGATGCCTTAGACACGTCCTGTTTCGGCAGTACGTCATGAAAGAAGGAAACAGAAGTCGCCATGCCATTACTGTATGTAACATGTGCATATATGGTTCTTCTTCGTTTCTTCCCTTGGAGTTACTCCCAGGAAGCGTTAGGGGAGGAGGGATGTAAGGATCCTTCGTGTATTCTTTCTAATGCTTTGTATATGTTAAACTTCATTTTTGTCAGGCTGTTCTTAATGCTGTAGTTCCATGTTTGTGCGGTGTTTCCGAGGTCAATGTTTATTATTTTTTTTCATCGTGACTTTCATTGGCAGTTAATGGCAGGATATTCTTGTTAATCATCTACGTCTGTTACTGTTTACTGAACTTTATGCCTGGTTTCAGTCCCAGTCTTCTAATTTCTTCATTTGGGTCATTTGTACAATTCTACTCCCAGATGACGTCGCAGGACAATCCAACATTTTAGAGGGTGGTAAGACTGGGTTTTTCGGCTGTCTGATGCTTTTAACGAATCCAAAACATGTAGAACTGGCCCTAACCCAAACCCACCTATGTCCCACGACAGACTGCAGCCAGGTCCCACGACTGCATGCAGCTTAGGTCCTACGACTGCATGCTGCCTATCTACCACCCCCTGAAATATTAGACTGTCCCGAGACCAAAGGATTTCTACTGTTTGGAGTAGGATATTAAAAAAAGCTTCATTCTTATTTCCCCAGCAGCTTTCCTTAGACATTCCACCTCTGTCGTCATGATTTTCCGTTCAATAATTGTAGCAAAGGTCCATGTCTGATACTGGTAGCATAAAATTACTCTAAAAATAGTTACTAACTGATCTGCATACTAGGAGTAAACTGGAAGCCCAGTTGAAGCCGCAGAATATACCACTAGACAATAAAGAAAGCAATTCATAACCACTGTGTATTTAGTAGACCCAAAGACGAATTTTCTGTCAAAACGTTAAATGTAGTCCTGTGGCAGATGCTGCTCTTCCTGTGTTGATTCTGTGGGGGGGGGGGGGGGAGGGGGGGGGGGGGGGGGGGGGGAGAAATGTCTACTCCTCCTTAACAAGCATGTCGTAAAAGGCGACTAATAAGAGATTTGCTAAAATAGGATGTCTTTCAGAAAAAAGGAGAAACAGCACAGCCTAGCTGTCAGTGACACTGCGTGCTAACGGTCCTTGCAAGAGCAAAAGCTGAAGCTGAAGAAGAAGAAGCAGAAGAAGAAGAAGAAGAAGAAGAAGAAGAAGAAGAAGAAGAAGAAGAAGAAGAAGAAGAAGAAGAAGAAGAAGAAGAAGAAAAAGAAGAAGAAGAATAAGAAGAAAGAAGAAGAAGAATGAAAAGAATTTAGCTGGCAAACCACGGCGGTTCCCATATTGCAAATACCACTTGTTTTATTTGCTACGTCTGCCTAACGATAAAGACAAGTGGCAGACAGGGCTGCCAATAGGATTTATTTTGAAAAACCCAGCTAAGCTGAATAAAAACCCAAGCAATATATATAGGCAGAGAACAAAAAATAAAAACCTAGATTGTTAAAAAGTAAAAATTGTATAATTACGAAACAAAACATTTACCTACTTTTATATTATTATATATTTTTAAAAAAATCAGATATCAAAATTTGAACCCAAGGCTTCAAATAAAAACCCAGATATGGGGGGTAAAAAGTCAGCATTGGCAGCCCTGATGGCAGAGTGAAGTTAGACCAGTGTTGCCACTTTTCTTTGACAAAAAATATCCAAAACGGTGTCAAAAAATATCTAAAAAGATCTAAATCTGCGTGGGAAAAGATCTAGAAAAAACATCCAAATTGAAAAAGTCAAAAATTACATAGCTTTTGTTATGACTTACCCTACATAATCATGTCCTCACCTTCACTGATGTCTGCCTGACAAGATCCACAGGATAAACTTAGCTTGGATAATGAAATTGAAGCTTCAGATCCAAAATGACCCTGGTATGCTTTAGCTGTTAAAATGTCTTTATAAGTGGAACAGTAGGCTTATTTCTCTAGTCTCATCAGGCCGAATTTTAATGGCACGATAGCATTTAAAATGTCAAATTTCATCCTGTTTTTTTAGGTTAGATTTGATATAATTCCTAGCACTGAAAACTCTTTCTACGTCAGCATTTGAGTGGGGTAGTCCATTCAGCTAACTTTATTTTAGTTAACTGATATTCTGCTTCCGCAACACTATTATCAGTAGCCCCTAAACATTTCATAACTTTACAATATATAGGTATGTCCTTTATTGGCTGAAGTATGTTGCTCACAGAAAAAAAAGTGAAATATTTTTCAAAACATCTAGATTTTCAGGAAGTCTCTGCTTCAGTTGCTTCAATAATGAGATAAGGAAATCTTGACAGCGTTTTCTTAAGTTGTTCTCTTCATTCTCTGTTAACAGTCCTTTTGTTTTTAAAGCATCAATTTTTGATTCGATTTAATATCTAAGGTGTGGCTTAGGAGCCAAATAGCTCTCTATAGTGCAAGTGAGCAAATCAGCTTTAGAAGTTGGCAAACACCAGTCTTTTACCGAGTGAAAAGCAAGGTGAGATCATCAAGTAATTTAACTTTATCAACAAGTTTAGATTCGAACAGTTTATTAACTTTTAGCACTTCCATTAGAATAGGTTATAAAAAGAGAATGAATGACACATTTTTTTTCATCACTGTACATTCCATATATAGTATTTTAGCTGTGTAGCACTGTTCACTTTGTCTTGTTATTTCAAAGTGTGTCTTCAACTTCAGCCATTGCTTCATAATTCTTTCAACAGCTGGTTAAATTGATAACCATCTAGTTTTGCAATCTGACAGAATTTTTGGTGGTGTGGAACCATCATTCAAGGCTGTATATAATGTACTGTATTGCTGTTGTCTGACAAATGATTTGGAAAACCAGTAAAGTGTTTCAGCAATAAGGTATTCCAAATTCCTTGGTAAATATTTAGATGCAGCATGTGATAATGCTAGCTGCAATGAATGACGCATACATTTTATAAGTATTAACGATGGGTTAGCTTCCTTCAACTTTGCATAAACGCCATTGTTTATACCAACCATCACTGAGGCATCATCAGTACCAATTACAGCCAAATTCTTCAAGCCTAACTGTTTGCTGATTAAAAGGTCCTTCAGTTCCTAAACTGATCTACATCACACTTTTCAAATTGAACTAGTCCAAGATTTTTTACAAATTGATCAAATGGTCACAGTTTGAAATTGCTCAGTGACAAATTAAAAACATTGCGACTGATACTTCAACTTTTGATGATTCATTTATCAGTATAGTTTTGAAAACAGATGCCAGCGGTGAAATATCTTTAAATGAAACTGCAGTTTTATGCTTTTTTAGTCTCTGCATGACTCTTTGAGTTTTGTATTTTCGCTTTAATTTCACACTTGCAGTACTTACAACAAGCTTTGGTCATATCCCCAGTTTTTAATTTTGTCATCATACAACCACTCTTTCCAAATGTTTTGCTCATACTTTACTTTTGGCATGTTGAAAGGTTTATTCAAAGTGAAAGTAACATAAGAAGGTGAGCAATTATTTTTTTAAATCACATGAAAAAGAAACGCAAAGTCAGCCCAGTGAGGATACGGTTGAAACAAAGTTAGTATGATTTACGAGCGTTTTTATTAATCAGTGCCGGGGCTGCCAGATATTTGTGCGTTGACCCCAGTGAGAGTTCAAAGTTCAAGTAATGGCAGTTGTCACAATGTACGTGCCAGACCAAAACAAAAATATTGTAGTAAATATTTTACACAGTAATTATTAAATTGAAAATGAAAGAAAAAAAATCTAAAAAATATCTCACTCCGTGTGAAAAAAATCTAGAAAAATATTTACGATCTAAACGTCAAAAACAGTATCTAAATGCAATGAAAAAGATCGAAATTTGGATATAAAAGATCCAAAGTGGCAACACTGAGTTAGACTCGTGTCTGTGACTTTAGTCATGTGTGGACAGTATCAGCCCAGTCTATTTCATTTTGCCCAGAGATGTCTCTGACACCTAAGTGAGTAGGCTGGCACGACTCCAGAGCAGGGCTGCCGAAATATTTGTGGGAATAGTACCCAATTTTGTTTAAAAAAAATACCAAAAAACACACCTGAAGGCACCACATTTTTAATTAAAAAAAAAAAAAAAAAAACTATTTAAAAGTCTTTAAAACACACACACAACTGGCTTACTTTATATTTGACCAGAATTAACAATTCTATGTCCATTACATCATTGCCGTAACATTTTTTTTTTAATTTGCTTCGTCTGGTACAAAGATGCTTTGGTGGCTTCCAATTGATGCAATTAATGTCTGGAACAATAATTTTGATCTCATCACTGCATTTATTGTTGTAGTTTCGGTCGTGGTACCAAAACTACAGTTTTTCTTGGTAAGGGTCAAATATTAGTCTGGTAGTCTTAGTTTCAGCTTCATAGCAAACGGGTCACCCCATCTTTGCTTCGCTCCTGTGCCAACGAAAAACACACAGAATGTTTATCACAGTATTAGAATTGGAGTTCATCATTGATGGTAGCAGAAGTCGCCAACAGATCAGCAGTTGCCCACGCGATCAATTTTAATCACACACAGGCACCACAACACTGCACGACAGGCATTGCGCCATTTTCGGAATCTACAATTCACACCAACACGTTGGTTACAGTCGAAAAAAACATTCCAAATGCAATCCGCAGCTCACAGGGACACGCCATGCATTCAGCTCAGAAGCTGGGCGACGAAACTATATCCAGTCTACAAATGGAGCAAAAAT